TTGTATTGTCTCTTCTGTAACTAGTTGGCTGGACACAGAGAAACTGTTGCTGGCACAGTGGTAAGAGTACCAATGCTTAGGCTCAGGGGGCTGGAGAGGAAAAGGCAGGTCTGTCCTTTCCAACAGTAGCATCAGAAGCAAAGATTAGTGTAAGTCAGTAAGACTCTGGCTGGTCTGAGAGAGATGAGGTTGTGTGTGTGCACCCATTCAAGTTTATGCTGTTATGTGTTGCCAAGGAGGACAGATCCTGGCCCGGCACATTAGGATCCACAGTACTGGAGCCAATAAATGGCCACTGTACGATTACAGCTGATACATGAACTCAGGGCCACTTCCTGAACGTCTGCATGAGGCTATTAGGAAGAAAAATCTATTTCAGTCTCTAAAAGAAAGAATTCATAGCACAGGATGTTGCTAAATTTTATTCCTTTCTCCATAACAGGAGAGTATTCAAGAAGAATTAAAAGAAATAAGGGGCTTAGGTTTGAAACTAGATTTTGCTGCCTTCCTGGGCATTAAAAGAAGTGCCTGAGTAAGGAAGAATGTGTGAGAGAGTTCAGTTTTTCAATTTTATTTTTGTAGAGTCCAATAAATATATTTTTGTAGTAATAAAATGGATGAATCAAGAACGTTTTCCCCTAAGGCTTGAGGAGCAGCTTTTTTATCTCTCCCTTGGATTCTGTTCTTAATCACAAAATAATAATAAAGACATTAGACCAAGACAAGTTGTTTGTATTGAGAAAAATTCCAAGGTTGGTTTTGTTTTCATTTTAAGGCTTGTGAAAACAAAAACTTGTCATTTGCTAAGAGGATATTGGGTGACCAGCCTTTGTTGGGGTTAACTTCTGACAGTGGTCCACAGACAGTTGACTTTGGGCCAGTAATTGTGTTCAGCATGCTGTAACTGCTGTCAATTTTTGTCATTTTTATCAACTGTTTAAAGCAGTTGTTGAAGTATCCTGAATGATTTCATAACATTGCTTTTCTGTTTAACCCATTGCATTGCTGTGATTGCTGCAAAAATGATGGGTGATTACTAATGACACTCATGAACAGGAGTAGAAATTAACAAGAAGATAACCTTGTAGGTAAGGTCTGCACCATACTAGTGGAAGGCCTTACATTCTGCCCTCCAGAGACTGTAGGCTATCTTTTGAACTTGCAGAAATTCTACAGAAATTGGTTTTGAGCTTGAAAGGTGATCCAGAGGTCTCTTGAAATCACATTGCCAGGTTACCTGCCTTGAGGGTTTTTTCAGTTAGTTTTTTGATTTGGGTTTGGTTTTGGTTTGGTTTTTTTTTTTTTTGAATGGCTTATCCTCTCTCATTAATAAAATACAGTAATACGCTATCTGCTGCTCTTTCAGACATAATCTCTTGCTGTGGCAGTGAACAAGATGGGCATCCAGCTATGAAGCAGAAACTATTTGTATGTGTATTGGTTTGATCAAAGTTACATAATTACTGCTTTTGTTGGGCATTAATCGTTCATGAATAGAGGCCTTTCAAGGAAAGAAAAATGTGAATCTTCTTATGACACAAAGCCAAATCTTTTTAATAGTCAAAGTAGCAGTCTAAGAATGGTGGTGTTGTTTGTTCTTACCAAATTGCCTGTTCTGAACTGTTATGCAAGTGCAAGTTCTGTTTGGTGTGCAGTCTTAATTATTTAGGAGCTACACATCACTGTCTTTTCTTTTCTAGAAGTAAGGGGTCCCTCCAGCATGTGATGTTCTGAGAACTATAACAAGAGTAGTTTTGTGTACTTGAACCCTTTCTTATGTAATTCCCACTCCTGAAATGTTCTTGTTCAAGTGCTGAAGTAGTTCTGACCATGAAACTTTTGGTGTTCTTTGCTTCCACTGATAGTCTCTTGCTTCTTTGGTGAGTGGGAGGTAAAACCTGAAAACAGGTGCCAAAATGGTATCTTCAAACTGGTGAAAATACACCATACCAAGGCAAGATAATCCCTTCCTGATAGCCTTCTTTCCCTTCCCAGTGGTTTTCTTTATTCACTTCTTCCATCTTTTCTTAAGAGTTCCTATCTTGCCAATTTTTTTTTTTGACTCAGTTCTGCAATTTTTTTTAGTCCAGCTGGATTGTCCAGTCAGTGTGAGAAAGTTTCAGAAATGGTCTCAATTTGCACATACACAGTGTCTGCCGGAATTTGGTGCTGTCCTTTTGAACACTTCTCTCCCTTGCAAGCCCCATTCATTGAATTTAAGTCATTTCACTCTATGCATATGGATTTTTATGTAGAGATTTTTCTTTCCTCATCAATTTCATTTCTCTCTGGATTCCCCCCAGTTAATGCACCTCTCACATGGACTGTTAAGCAGAACTTTGTAAATACATTTATCTCCAGAATCTGCATTTAAACCATTAGCCTGCATTGTGATGCTTTGCCATGCATGTACAATCACCTGGAATTTGTGATTGTCTTTTCCAGAAGATAATGCGTACTGTTTCAAACTCCTGAAGTAGTTTGAATATCCGGTTAGATTGGAAAAATCTTAAGAGGATTGTGATGGATGGCTGTAGGCTGTTTTGTAATGGCAAGCAGGGAAGAAGAGAAGGAAGAGGCTCTCTGTGTTAAGGTGAACCTTGATTGTACAGAAGTCAACTACGGTGACTGTGGAAGCCCTATTGAATGCCTCTGGTTCGAGATTGTCTCCAAGGGGGATCTTACAGTACGGATTTGCTACTGACCTCCAAATCAAGATGTTAAGGCCAATGAAACAATATTTGGGCCGCTTAAGCAAGCTTCGGTTCAACAGAACCTGGTTCGTATGGGTGGCTTCAACTACCCAGCCATTTGTTGGTAGAACAATACAACGGCTTGCATGTCATCCATCGAGTTCCTGGAATGTGTAGAGGACTGCTTCCCCATACAAATGTTAGATGTGCCAACCAGGAATGAGGCACTGCTGGGCCCGCTACTCGCAAACCAAGAAAACCTGCTTTGTAATCTCTCAATTAGTGATAGCGTTGGCAGCAGTGATCACAATATTGTGGAGTTCGGGATCCTGCTGAGCACACTAAAGGTTAGTACCAAGACAAAGATTTTAGATTTTAGAAGAGCAAACTTCAGCTTGCTCAGAGCTCAGTTGAGATGGATTCTGTGGGAAGTTTCCATGGAGGAGAAAGAAGGTAGTAAGTGCTGGGAATTTTTCAAGAACACTTTTCTAGAAGCACAAAACCAGTTCCCTTACCTTTGAAGGGGATGAAGTAGGTGGAGCAAGAAACACCCTTGGCTTAACTGCAAGCTTCTGCGTCTGCTCAAAACCAAAACAGAAGCATACCAAAGATGGAAAACTGAATGAACACCCATTGAGAACTACAAAGGCATTGCCAGGGTGTGCAGAGATGCAGTTAGAAAAACAAAAGCTCAGCTTGGATATAAATTGTCCAGAGATGTCAAAAACTATGAGAAAGGGTTCTTCAGGTATGTAAGCAACAAGCAGAACAGAAGGAAAATATTGGCTCGCTGTTAAACAGTAGAGGTGAATTAGTTACCAGCGCTGAAAAGGTAAAGGTTCTCAGCACTTCCTTCACTTCTGTCTTCACCAGCACTGCTGGGCCCCAAGGACTGGGAAAAATCTAGGTTGATGCAAACGCAGGCCCACTGTCAGTGAAGGAGTTGGTATGTGACCTGTTCCAGGAGCTTGGCCTCTACAAATCTATGGGCCCTGACATTATCTACCCAAGGGTGTTAAGAGAGCTGGCTGATGTCATTGCAAGGTCACTCTTCATAGTCTTTGAGAAGTCATGGAGATCAGGGGACATCCCAGAAAACCAGAAGAAGGATAATGTCACCCCCGTCTACAAGAAGGGCTTAAAGGAGGATCCAGGAAATTACAGGCTTATCAATGTTACTTCAGTCCCTGAGAAAATTATGGAACAAATCCTATCACAAGTCAAATGAAGCACGTGACTGGGAAAAGCCAGCAGGGATTCACCAAGGGCAAATTGTGCTTGACAAACCTGATTGCCTTCTACGACAAAGTAACCTGCTCAGTTGATGTGGGATGAACAGTGAGTATTGTCTACCTGGATTTATCCAAGGCTTTCAACACTCTTGTTTCCCACAGCCTCCTCCTGGAGAAACTGATGCGTTATAGTCTGGACAAGTAGTTGGTGCAGTGGGTGGGCAACAGGCTGACAGGCCGCACGCAGATAATGGTGGTAAATAACTCCTTTTCAAACTGGCAACCTGTCACAAGCAAGGTCACCCAGGGATTGATATTGGGCCCAATGCTGCTTAATATGTTCATAAGTGATCTGGATGATGAGGTTTGCCAGTGATACCAAATTGGGGAAGTGGACACTTCGGAGTGGAGAGCCACCCTGCAGGAAGACCTAGATAGGTTGGAAGACTGGGCTAATAAGAACCTTGTGAAGTTCAGCAGAGACAAATGTAAGGACTGGGAAGACCTGGGAAAACGTAATCCAGGAGCACAGCACAGGCTGGGATCTACCCGTCTGGGGAACAGCTCTGTGGAAGGGACCTATGATCTGGGGGTCCTGGTGGACAATAAGTTCAATGTGAGTGAACAATGTGCTGCTGAAGCAAAGAAAGCCAACAGGATGCTGGGTTGCATCAGAAAGGGCATCCCCAGCAGAGATAAAGAAGCCGTTATCCCACTCTACTCTACTGCTTGCCAGGCCACACCTGGAATACTGTGTTCAGTTTTGGTCCCTGCTATGCAAAAAAAGATGTGGACAGTCTGTGGAGAGGGTCCAGAGAAGGGCCACAAAGATGGTCACGGAACTAGGAAGCCTGGTATATGAGGAAAGGCTGAGACAACTGGGTTTGTTCAGCCTTGAGAAAAGGAGGTTTGGGGAGGGCCTCATCACCATGTTACAGTATGTAAAGGGTGGCTTTAAAGAAGATGGAGACTCCCTTTTTAGAAGCAGACACATGGAAAAGGCAAGGGGTAATGGGTACAAGCTACTCCTGGGGAGATTCTGATTGGACACAAGATTTTTCACCAAGAGTCATTGGAATAATCTCCCCAGGGAAGTGGTGGATTCCCCAGCACTGGGTACTGTTAAGATTCAGCTGGACAGGGTGCTGGGCCATCTTGCCTAGACTGTACTTTTGCTAAGAAAGGTTGGACCAGATGATCCTTGGCGTCCCTTCTAACCTGCCATTCTGTGATTCTATGGTCACTTAGAATCCAGTGTCTAAATTACTTGTGCAGTTTGATAAGTCTCAGTCTGTATAACCAGAGAATTGATTTTTGTAGCTTTCACTACAACATAGCGTTTCTTTTAATTGAAAAGCAGTTATCTCTCTGAGGTCTTGGAGGTGAAGATGACATGGTGCATGGTGTTGTTATTAAGAAAATCATTAACAGTTTAGCATACATTTTTACTGGTAATAACAGAAATCTATTTTTAGCAAACTCATGCTTGAATTCTTACTTTTACGCAGACTGCATCCTCTGCTATTAAAGGTGCTATTCAGCTGGGAATAGGATACACAGTAGGAAACCTTACATCAAAACCGGACAGAGATGTTCTTATGCAAGACTTCTATGTAGTGGAAAGTGTCTTCTTACCAAGGTAAGGACAAGCCTATTCAATTTATTTTTAATAGTTTTCATAATTAAACTCTAACTAGGCATTTCAAACAAGCATTTTTTTCCAGTTCCAACGAAATGGGGTTAGAGTAAGTTTCATGTATGCAAACTTGAAAATTATCCTGTCTTCATCTTGTCATTGAGAATGAAGGTAGCGAGAAAACTGGGAAGATCAACTGAAGGTCTGAGACTTGTCACTTCTATAGAAGGAAAGTAATTGTGACAATTGAAATTAAAGGAGCAGTTAGTTACAATTGGAAGTGATTTGTGGATCTATATGCAATTAAGTATTATGTCCAACATTCACATTTGTTTAGTTTCAGTTTAGTTTCTAAAAACTGAGAATAGTACTTGCTGTTTTGTTAAGGGGTTGTCAAAATTTATGAAAATTCAAGTCCTGCAGTGTTAAGAGTAATATAAGAATTTACACTACAGTATAAAATTCTAGCTAGGACTTTAGCCTGTGACGAGGCTCAGCTTTTAATAGCTGACTACAGGTTGTGCACCATTACTGCTTTGCACTTGGCCACCTCAGCTTATATCACTGCCACGTTGATGGTATAGAATTTGTGATAATTAGTTATGCTGATGAGAGAAATCAAGGTCATACTTACTTTGGCTGTTCAGAACGTGAATTGCAGTGCCATGTAATTTTTCCAGTTGCTAGGAATGGATGAAGAAGGTTTAGGAAAAACACATTTCAAAACCACGATGACTTGTTCTGTTCAGTGCCTATAATTTCCGTAGGGACATACTGTGTATGCAGTACCCCCTAAATTTGTGAACGCTTTCTGTGACTTTTTCAAAGTTTTGTTCATGAGCAGTTTGAATGATACTTCATCAACTGTTTCTAAAAACATACAATCCTTAAAAATTACTGACGTCACTAAAACAAAGTTAAACTGATGGTGTACAAAATAATTGCAGGCACTTGTTGATCTCTCTTCATGTAAATTTGCTTGATCTAACTCCTGTTTTCCTCTGAACTGAAATGAAGGTTTTACATTACATTCTTTAGTTCCTAGTAATTGAGGGCATTCATATCCTTGTTATGGTGTTAACGATAAGGTTTGTGCACAGTTTTGTCATCTTTCTCTTGTAGATGAGGTAAATATAGAGAAGTTAACTATGTGCATGTGTTTTCATACACAGTCATTACAAAAATTTGTTTAAAAACCCCCAAATTACAGCTGAGAAATTTGCATATCATGTAACAAAGTTTTTATTAGTCTGAAAAATTAGTCAAGTGAGAGGAGAGTGAGCCATCATATTTGTGAAGTGGCAGCAATGCAAGCTTCTGTAGCTTGTTTGGCTGTTCAATCCAGAGTGGGAATTAGCTTGCATAAGTTGTAATAGTTTAGTATTGCTCATAATGCCATCATGAAAGACTCAACACCCCAGCACCCTCAGGCAGCAAGAAAGAAGCCTGTATCATGACATGGATCAATCCTGAGTCATATCTATAGGTAGCTTCATTACCTTAGTCAGAGGTAAAAAGCTAAGGTCGCATGTTCTTTCCGGGTAGGGCTGCACTTCCAAGGTGCACTTCAGGTGCTCTTCACTTTTTTCTAGGACAGTACCTGCATGTGAAGGTAGTATTGTTAAAAGTCATTACTTTAATGACTTCTCACCCCTGCCTTGGATTGGTCTCGGTTGAAAGCAGTTAATTGAAATTACTTACACCAGCAGGTGCAGTGGGCTGACCTCTGCCTGGAAGCACCCTGGAGCAAGCCAAGGTTAAATAAACTTTTTTCCAGATGTCTGCAGCTGGAGGAGAACCTGACAGTGCAGCAAGTGTGGTGCTGAAAGTAGGCGCTCACCAAGCAAGGAGGAGCATTTTTCCACTTGCTTTGGGTGTGCGTAATTCAGCTGCAAATCCAAGCAGGCTATTAGCTGAACTTCCCCTTCGCTGTGGCCAATTCACAGCAACCTGCCTCTTTGCAAGCTGTCCTGCTCCACCTTCCATGTTTTCCCTGCGTCCACCTCCCCTCATCTGGGTCTGGTGAGGAGGCGGGAGGACAGGTCCTGTGCAGAGTCACAGGCACACCTGCAGCTTTGGCAGCAACAGGAGCGCTGTTATGGTGGCAGTGATGAAATAGAGCTGAGCTGGTAGAAAGGCAATGAAACAGCAGCCAGCACACTAGCAAGCAATACAGTGTTATCTGTGCCCTTTTACTGTTAGGGGAAGTTAGCCAACAGTTATTTATAAACTTCATCAGTTGCAGAAGATAAGTAGCCTGCTTATCTGTCAGCCCCTGAAGTACACCTCAGCACCGCCTGTACCTCAGCTTTGGTAACCGTAACAAAACACTTAGAGCTGTGTTTGGGATTCATGAAGGAGGGAGAAAAATGCCAGGGGAAAAAAAAGTGGTCAGCTCAGACCTGAACATAACTGCCCTGCTTGTTGTGGGAGCTACTGATGTAAATCCATGGATTGCAGGTTATATCTGGAGTTACTTTGTAGCTGGGTTCAGGTGGTCAGAGTTTGGCCCAGATTCATTTAGGTGTTTATTTCGGGAAGTGACTTTGAGTGAAGTACAGCTATCTCTGTACAGTGGGTGGATTTGAATTGCAAAGGTGCTTGCTTTCGTTTGTACATTGTGGTGGTGGAGGGGGTGGAAAAGTGCCTTTCTGCTTCACATTGTGGCCTCCCCTTTGTCCCTTTCTCTTTGGGCTGCCCAGGAGTTTAGAACGTGGTGCTTTTGGGAAGTAAATGAGGTATTATTAGGGGCTGCTATAAAGGAGTTCATTGAGAACCACCGTCCAGACTGAGTTCAAATGGCACTATGCAAATGTACTCCTTGGACTGAGAAACAAATGCAGACCTGTAGTGACCCAGTTGATTCTGAAGATACAACGTCTGAAGTCTCCACACAGCTCCCTGAATAGGGTGAAACCACAGGGGGAAGTACTCCAAGTAACCTCTCTTATGGCTTTTAAACGCTGCTTTGGAAATCCAGCAATGGAGTTGCTTACCTGGTGCTGGTACTGCTGCAGCAGTGGCTGGAAGGTTCAGTGGGAAGGTTGTGCATCCTGCTTGTGCTCTCTGTGCTCTGCCCGACAGCTCGGCCCAGGAAGGGCATATTCTCCCCTTCCTGCATTATGCTCTGGGCCCCTGACCTCCTCGGTTGGAACCAGTTCATTTCTTGGTGGCACATTTTGCCTCCACATCAGTTACTTGTGCAATGTGGCTACAGCAATGTTTTGACAGCTGTTTGATTCAAGTGTGGAGCTGGCTCCAACTAGTGTGTCCGTGGTTAGACAGGCTCATTGCTGAGCTCATAAGCCTAGCTGTGTCAGGCAGTGGTGGCTCAAACTGGTTGCTGGGCCATGGGGCCATGCAGCTGCCTGTGAGTTGGCAATGTGGGCAGCTTGCTAAGCTCTTCTAGCAGACACGTACTAAGTGGGCACATTTTCTACATTGATGCTTGACAAGCCGAACAGAAGCCACTCCATCCTGTTAGCTAACTTTGGCTAGTCAGTCATACGCATCTTCAGAAATGCAGAGACTCTGAAGCAAGGCAGTATGTTTCAGGCTCCATCTCTTTTTGTTTTCTTAGATGGAGGTTGCTGCTAAGCACAGCTGTGAGTTTGACCTTCTCGCAGCAAGCTATTAAAACAGTCTCATGCGCTTCCCTTGCTAATACACTTTATTTTCGGGGTCTAGACCCTGCATATTGGGAACACTTGCTATGGTTTCTAATTTAACTGGTAACTCTGTTAGATCCTGTTGACCTCTGTCCACCCTGCAGCTACAGTCATCTGTACAGCAAACTAGTGCAATTACAAATTGCTTTCTTGTGATGCTAATGAAAGATTATTCAGTGTTTTCTGCTATTTAATGTCAAAAGCTTAATATTGTATTATGATAGCATTTGGATGACAGCCCAAATAAGTGGTCAAAAGCACTAAGAGAAGTAAAGCCTTTGACATATTTTAGCCACTCTGGGTTTTACCCTACATCTGAAACTGAAGTGTACTGTTCTCTGGTATGTTTTTGAGGAATGATTTAGAAAAATGAGGAAAACTTGACACTTGCCCTTGGAAATACTTGTACCAAACCTCTGTCATAGGTTACCTGATGGGCTAAGTAGTGTCTCTGTAATTAAAGACATACACAATGCTCTGTATGCTGATTATTAATAGTACTCAAATGTTGACGCTAATGCTTAGTTGTTGTGTAACTTAAGACACTCTATTTGTTTCCAGTTGGGCAGTTTCACAAGATAGATAAGAAAGTGGCCTGAAGGCTTTGATAAAGCGCTGCTGCTGCTGCTCTTTGGTGCTTCAGTTGCAGGGATGTGCAGGATGAGCCAAATTCTGACATGCTTTTTATGGTTTGTGAGTACAGTGATAGCCCAGATAGGAGGAAGTCTTTTTCTTTTTGCAAAACAAATAGTATTCAGAATGGGGAAACTGTAGCAACAAAAGCAAAACAGTGTTCATTGTGAATTACTGGTCTTAGCTATTTCACTATTAGAGTGAAATTGTTTGTAAACCTGTGATAATCTGGATACTTGTGTGGTTATGTAGACAAACTTTTTTTAAGGTACTCTGAGATTCCTTGCTTTAATGGCATCTCCAGTTGTTTGTGAAATAGCCATATCATCATCATAAGAAAATGTCTGTATATTCGGCTGTTGCATAGCTATGATTGGATTGACTTGTTTTGAAGATACTTACTATTCGCAGTTGTGTTTTAAAGCTGCCTTGCAGTGGACTGCTTAGGATAGGATGTAGTAACCAAAAGTACAGGAGAACATACTGTGAGAAACAAGGATATTACCACTGGACTTTATCCCACAGTATGAAAAAACCAAACGCACACCTATTTGTACAGGTAGCCGTAATACCTACTTCCATCATGTGGGAAACAATTGCTTTCCTGAAATTACATATAGGAAGTGAATACTCCAAATCAATACCTGATCTGTCAGTATATATTTATTGGATATAGTTTGTAGACTTGAAACACATTTTGAT